ATTTTTAAGAGACGGTAAATTAGCAGTAGCTGCCAGGGTCCAGCCTCGGCCGGGGTGGGTTGACTCGATGGAGACGGCGCAGGTGAACAGAAGACAAAGGTCTCGGTGCCTTTTCATGCACGTCCTTTGCCAGACACCCCTCAGAGATCGCTCTCTGAGGAGCGACAACTGCTAGGAAACACCGTGCATTTTTATTGAAAATGGGATACATGCAAGTAAATGGAGAGGGGCTAGTGTTTCAATTAACAGCTCATAAAGTTTTAACAATAGAGAACATAGATTCTATTCAGGGTTGGATTAAGGGTGGGTCTAGTGCAGTTCCGCAATTGTAGGTGGGTATCCATGGAATGCAGTTTCGGGAAAGTGACTCCAGCAAGCAGAGGTGATCATCAGCTGATGCGGTGTAGCAGCCATCTTGTGATTCTTACCGGGAATGGTGCTGAGAAAAGGAAATTTCAAGTATAGATATTAGTTCTTATGGATCTTAATAAGGACTGGAACTTGTATAGTTTTATAGGGATCTAAAACTTAATTTAAGGAATCCTAATATATTTGTCTATTTTACTTGGTGAGGGCAGGGATGTCCTGGGCCAGTTTCGGCCTAATCCTATTTTATGTAAAGAAAAGATTATCTTTAAGTTTATGTTAAATGTATTTTGAAGGGCCTTCCAAAGGTCAAGATTATTTCTGCCTAGATAGAACTTCAGCACACCCTCTATTGTGACCACAGAGATAAAGCATTAATTAACAGTAGGTGATCAGTGCTGAGGGTAGTGGTCGGGGGACTTTTGGGAAAATCTCATCACATACTCAAGAGAGCTATGTAATTTTTTTTAGTAGTACATCAGGGAGTCAGAGGGGGGTCGCTTCCCAGCAAGGCTACCATATTTTCTCCTATTGTCTCAACGATCTACACAAAACTTCCAGGACCAAGCAGGTGCCCCCAACCCCATGCATATACAAGCAAGCAATCCCTTCTGCACCAAAACACAATGACTGTCCTCTGATTCATTTCAGCTCTTATACTGACTATTGGATATTGTGTGTGATTTCACAGGTAGAGAGCTCAGTTCTCAACACTGCCACTGTCTCCTTGCCCTCTGGCTCAGTGACCTGGTGCCTAAGGTAGCCAGATCACACCTGGCTGACCATGAAGTTTTAATCTGAGCCCAACGTGCATTCTCAAAATCTTAAAAGGGTAAAGAAATGAAGAAGGGATTGTGGTATGAGCACATCTCATTGGTGTGGATATTTTCTTCTTGTGCCTCTGCCTGTTTCTCTTTGTCTCCTTGTTTCTATGTACTCTCTGGTGAGGACATAGCCCTCTGACAAATTATAAAAGACTGTCTCCCAATGTTCATATGTCAGGCATATGCCTCAGGTGGTCTTTATGTGTGTTTCTGACTTATTAGCTATAAATTGGGGTTCTCATATCCTAATCCAGGGGTTGGATCTGATTAATTTACTACAGTGGCACACAGAACTTAAGGAAACACTTTTGTTTACTGGTTAATTGTAAAGGATATTATGCTGGATATACGTGAACACCAGATGAAGGAACGCACAGGGTATCTACCTGGAAAGGAAGGTTGCCACAGAGTGAGTAAAGTAGAAAAATTCATTTGATCTAGATTTAGGGCCGTCATCCACGTGCCTCTAATAACATGTGCTTAGGTCTAATTTCCTCTAATAATACGTGCTTAGATTTTACTGAATCAGCCTGGATAAGCCAAGACAATCTCCCCATCCCAAGAACCATATTTGAATCACCTTTGCAAAGTCTTTTCTGCCATGCACGGTGACATGTTCACAGGTTCTGGGGATTAGGAGGTGGTCAACTTATTGTCTTTTCCAGCATAGCTTATGTGATCAATGGACAGATTAATACTTGGCCCTGTATTTCACTAATTAATCTAGAGAGAAATGTCCCATTGAAGTCATTAAAATCATTGCTGATCATGACCTCATGAAAATGAACCACAGTGGAATAGGTAAAGCTAAGGGACTGTTATATTTATTAGAAGCCTTGTGATACTTTAAATCATGTGCATATAATGCTGCTACTATGAGTAGAGTCATCACAGGCCCAAGTCACACCTAGTAAGTCCCATGGAAGTGGATCTCCAGAACTTGCCCAGCATGGTGGCTGTGGTTTACAATACTGTGCTCTATACATGAAATTCACTGATCTTAAGGTAGATCTTAAGTGTTTTCAGCACACAAAAAAAGGTAACTGTGTGAGGTCATAGATATGTTCATTAGCTTAATTATGACCCTCATTGTAGTGAGCACATATATCAATCAAGATGTACACCTTAAATATGTGTTATTTGGGGGCCAGTAGGAGGCATAGTGGTTAAAGTTCTTGATTCCCGCATGGCCTACCCTGGTTCAAGACCTCAACTGGAAACTCATGTCCAGATCATGTGCATGTACATGCCCACATCCCAAAAGGAGAATGAAGAAGGGATGACATGACCATCTCCCCTGGGGTTGATTTCTCACTTTCTGTCTCTCTGCCAAGTCCATACACCAGATACAAAAATTCTACCTCAATATAGATAACAAAAAGTACCTTAAAAAAAATGGGTCTAGCAGGTGACTTGGTTGTTAAGGCACTATCTGTCCACATGGCACTAACTTTCAACATGGTTTCAGTCCCAGAACCAGCAGCTTGACAATCATGTTGAGCATGTGTTTGTGTTTCTGGGTACTTTGCCCAAAATTCCAAGAGGAGAATGGAGGGAAGAGATTTTGGTGTGACTGAGCAGTGGTTTCCCAAGAGTTTCCCAAGAGCCCACTTTCTGATGGTGTTGGTCATGTGAGAATCTTTTCACTG